GTTTGCTATCTATCTCATGGCGATCACCAGTCTAACCGATGACGAGGTGGAGCAAAGTTTCAATGAGTCGAGATCGAACCTGCTAGCCAAATACCAACATGGGACACAGCAAGCTTTGTTCAATGCAGGGTTCATGCGTATGCCAGATTTGACAGTACTACAAGCATATTTATTGTATTGTGTAGGAGTCCCCCTTCAGTTTCTAGTATTCTTCTAATCCTAATCAGTACCAGATCGGCGTCAGGCATTCTACAGATCCCCGTTCTCTTTTCTGTCTAACGGGGATGGGTGTCCGTTTAGCCCAGCGCCTCGGTCTACAGCGAGATGGCGCCGAGTTTGGGTTTTCACCGTTCGAAGTGGAGGAGAGGAGGAGGCTTTGGTGGAACCTCGCTGGCTTCGACAGGCGCATAGGAGAAATGTGCGGGTCGACCATCACAGCCATCTCAACCGGCGGCAATTGTAAGTTGCCGCTCAATATCAACGATGCTGATTTAAATACCCATGCCAAGGATCCGCCTCCTCCTCATCTGGGTGTCACGGAAATGATATTTTCCCTAACACGTCTGGAGTTTGCTCAAGCGCCTGGTAACGACAAGATGAAGGCTCAGCTGTCTGCTGCCAACCCACAAGCAGTTACGAATTTAGCCGACCACCGCCTATCGAGCTACCTCGACCAATTTGCACACTATATGGAGGAAAAATACTTGAAATACTGTGACCCAAAGATACCTGTTCATTATATGACACTCCTTATGACCCGAGCCAACCTTTGCAAGTTAAAGGTCGTCTCCGGTTTCTTCCGAGTTGTGATAACAGCTCCTTCGCCCTTGCCCGCAGCTGAGAGCGAGGCTCTTCTGATCGAGGCCATCCGGATGATCGAGTATGACAGTATGATACAGGCTCATGAGCAACTGAAGGGTTTTCTCTGGTACACCAAAATGTATTTTCCCTTCCCTGCATATGTCTGTCTCTTGGGTGAGCTTCGCCATCGTACGACAGGTGATCTGTGCGAGCGCGCCTGGGAAACAATTTTTGAACATGCAGAAATGAGGAAAATGACTACCTCAACACACACGCCTTTGCACCTCGCCTTCAGTTCACTCTTCGTGAAGGCCTGGGATGCCAGAGAGGCTGCTGAGGCTGCAAACGGCCGCACTCTAGTCCCACCAAGACTCATAACGGTCATGAGACAACTTGATGCTCAGAGGCCGAAAAAGGCAAAGGACAAGACACCGTTGGCAACGCCATCACCAAAGGCCCCAGTAGTCAGTGCTGGGTTCGCTTCAGCACCTCCGTCATCATCTTCACCAGCAGCGAATGTTGTGCCCACTACGGCCATGTATCATCCCGCCGATATGTTCAGTAATATGCAGCCTGCTCATGTCACGAGGCAATTTTCTTTGGCGTTCCCTGATATCAATTTCGGCGGCGAAATGGACTGGAACTACCTTGTGCAAGAGTATGGTGGGTTTGTGCCTCACCAGGGCATACACACCTTCAGCATGCCACAAGTAATGCAGGACCCTACACAGGCCGGGTCTTGGCAATAAATGTAAATATTATGTCAATATGGACTACGAATGTATAATGACGAGATGACGAGATGACGAGATACAGTCTGAGCTGGCTCGAGTGTAACTAGGTATATACTTCTCGGAAAATCTTGTTCAGTATATGCATAATTAATTATATAAATTTTCTGACTACAACGCGTTTACATGTACAATTAAAGCCGAAGCCTAACGCTTCATCCCATTCCCTGTTCGTAATCGTTTTTTTAAGTAGAGGATGCTATCCTATTAGCATAGCACTTATCTTCGCGATTGAAATGTCGTTCCTAATCTGTTAAGGCCAAGGTTAGGGCCAACTAAGGATTAGAGATAGCAAAGAATGTTATATGGGAAGACACAGAAGTGGCGGGGCCAGAAATGCCCAAATTAAAATCACATATATGCATATCTACCCAGGTAGGTAGATACATCACTCTTATCAATTGCAGTGTGAATCTCGTCGGGGTGGAAGACCTACGCGCAGACTGACTGCCCTGATTTTCTACCTGGATAGCCGCCACGAAACGTCCCGTCTCACGCACAACCTAAGATAAGTTGCAGGGCAGAGTGCATAGCAGCCAAAGGACGTTTGTGCGAGTGGTTTCTTTTTCCCTCATCGACAAGCTAAGGGAAGGTTTCGGGCCTCGGCTCTCCTCTCTGTCATGGTAGCTACTGTATCCTGTCTGGCCGCGCGTCGGCGATGTGCCGGCATGCTACCACGTAGATCGTGTGTTTCAAGTAAGCGCCGTGCGTTTGCATCGCGAGGTTATACTATGTATGAGTGCGATGCACAGCCTCTATTTTTATACCATCTTTGCGATGGCTTTAGGTCTTTGGATAGATACATAGGTTCTTATTAAGGCCTTTGGCAAGATTATTTATGGTATATATTATGTATGTAGGCTCCATTTCTACGCAGGGTATTTGCTCATACTCCTAAGCAGGGGCTATGAGTATACCTATCTGCTTCAAACTATCGAAATCACATTGGTTTCGTGGTGTAGTTGGTTATCACGTCAGTCTAACACACTGAAGGTCTCCGGTTCAAGTCCGGGCGAAATCATGACGATTCCTTTTGCTGAGGTAGTATAAGTCTCTTTTTTCTTTTTTTTCTTTTTCTTTTTACTATTTGTTGTGGGGTAGTTGAAGATCGATGCTAGGATCTTGTATGCAAGCAGATGCTCCTCATGCCGCTCATGCGTCTTGTCGGAACGCCACTTAGTTGCGGAGATCGCCGAACTCGCTATGAAGATTGATATTGTTGCACACATCGATTTACATTATTATCTAGCTCGTCCTTGTTTTGTTCGATAGATAGTAATCTTTATATATATCATCCTCTTACATATTGGGGACCTTCGAATGTCACGTGTATGACTGACTGATATCAGGTCCAGCGTGGCCCTTGAATATAACCTCGGAAGTTATAGGTAACATCAATGGCTTCCGTCGGCGTTGACACGATTCCAATCCCTGGGGACATCCCTACAACCCAGTTACGGTTCTCCTCCGGCAACGGCCCGGTCTCCAGGACTATACTGAAGACCCCTCTACGTGATGCGCTCCCATCCGAAATCCCAGTCATTGATGTCTCTGGGATCTTCAGCGTCTCCAAAGATGCTCGCATGAATGTGGCTCGGCAGATTCGAGACGCCGCTACTAACAGCGGGTTCTTCTATATCAACAATCACGGTATCCCACCAGACGTACCAGAGACAGCATGCGAGGAACTCCTCGGCTTCTTCCGGCAGCCGCGAGAGGTCAAAGATCGCGCCCATGTCAGCCAATCCAGGTACTTCAACGGCTATAAGCCGTCTAAGTCACAGCGTATCAACCCGTTCGAGTCAGTCGACGCACGCGAGAGTTTCTCCTGGACTTACGACCCGAGGTATGACCCTTCGATTCCCGACCCGGCCGCCATCCCGCCTCACATCGCCCGGTACCTGAGATGTGAGGATTTCCACTGGGACGCGACGGCCAACCTGCCTCGTTTCAAGGACTCCATCGTGCGCTATTGGCGTTCATGTCTTGCCGTAGCGCGGGCGCTCGTGCGATCCTTCGCGCTGTCGCTCGATCTGCCCGAGGACTTCTTCGCGGAGAAGTTCACGCATCCAGACGCCGCCCTCGCGCTGAACTACTATCCTCCCTTACCGGCCCCACCACCACATGCATCGGGGGAGCAAGGGGAGGAGACAGAGGTCTCGATCGGCTCGCACACGGACTTCCAGCTCTTCACGATCCTGTGGCAGGACAACAACGGGGGCCTCCAGGTGCTGAACCGCCAGGGCCAGTGGATCAACGCGAAGCCCATCCCGGGGACCTTCGTCGTCAACATGGCGGACTACATGCAGCGCATCACGAACGACCGCTACGTGAGCACCGTGCACCGCGCCCAGAATTACAGCGGCAACGAGCGCGTCAGCATGGCCTTCTTCTTCGGCTTTAATCTGAACGAGAGCTGCGGCGTGCTCGATAACTGCGTTGCCGAGGGCGAGGAGAAGAAGTATGGCGAGATTGGCTGCGAAGAGTGGGTTCAGAGGCGCGTGAGGGCCATGCATAGGCAAGACGAGTTGCCTGGCAAATGAGTACCGCTGCTCTCGTTGATCGAGGCTTCTTTTGGTTTATCATATTGATTTTCGATCGTTCATGGAATGAAACTGGAGGCCATGGACGTGATATTGAGCCTACTTAGCTGTATGACTTAGGTTGAAACACATGCGGATATGGGAGATGAAATGCTCTGTACTGTGAGGGTTTTCTTCTTGGAGGAGAGATTGCTTGTTTGCTATCGCAGAGATAGCTACCACTCGTTCATGTCTGTTAGGAATAGTAAATGATGGTGACGGTAAACAGGTGTTATATTCGATTGCTTGACTATATGCAGGGTTAAAGAAAGATTCGTTGTATAGATGGCAGGATATGATGATCATTTGTGTAACTCTATGAGCTGTTTCGATATGTTTCCTACTTCTTATTGAACTCCTGTATAGCGCAGAGAAGCCCGAAATTTCCGCCTGGTGAATGTTGAAAATCGACTCTCGCGATTCTACTTCTAAGAAACAAACATGCTGCTTGTATTGACAGTGGCAGTCTTGTATAGAACGTAGAGATAGACTGAGCTTCTGCGTGGGTATGATGCGAAACCTCTAAGAAAAAGAGAGGAGAAACAGAAATACTATATAACGGTAGCAATTTTCATAAATAATATTATGTCGAGAGAAGTGAGAGAACTGCTTACCTACTACCCTGTATATAGCCGCGACCGCGAAATATGTGTGGACACGCAAATAATACAATTGTAGTAACCCCGCCATACAAATCACTCTCTTTGGCAACGAAGGAATTATGTTAGCTGACAGAAAAAGAGAAGAAAAGGGAAAGGGAAATTCCCTCACTAACTCATGTGAATCAGTGCGAAAACAATGTAAAAAATGGCAAAAGATTGCTTCACGACCAGGGCCTGATTCGAACAGACGCTCCCGAAGGAACTGCATAACAATTATCACTATTAATTCGAGTGCAGCGCATTAGACCACTCTGCCACCTGGCCCGCAACTTGTTGTTACCGCATCGCTAATTTACGGTCTATATCCCAGATCTAGTAAGCATTGTACCACATTCAGCCAAGTCTCCCTCATTACGAGCATCACCGAGAATAAACACCCAATACCGCTAGAAACCCTTCAGTTCTATCATTTGAACGAACCTTCAATATCCTATCGATACGCTCACAATTAACCACATTAATAACACAATGGGTAACCGGCATGCGCGTAACTTAAGACTATCTCCCACAACCTGAACAAACTAGTCGCTACCTGCTTAACAGTTAATCAATCAATGAGCCCAAGAAGCTAGAGCTGACCTTAGCCATCAAACCCTTAGTTTTACCTGGTCGATTCCTCTACTACAATTCTTTGTGTATAATGCCACACAAGAGATAGCGATAGAAAGCTACGAAAGAGGGATTTGATCAACTGGGGTAGCTCGGAAACCTACCTGTGCGCCGCTCTCTTTTCTTCTCAGGCGATTCAGAACGAATTCGCCAACTAAGGGCCCTTTCTGGTTCGTAGGCTTAGTAACCGAGGTATAGCTTGCGCTTGAACCCCAAAGAATGACTAGAATCTTCTTGCGCTCTTAATTTACCGCGTTGTAGATATTCTAAGAGCGTCGCGAGGAAATAGGCAGGCATCGGTCAGTTGGGCTGATAAAAGCTGCGGGCGACGTTGTAGTCTCCTAGCATCAAAGGTAACTTATCCTTGAGTCTTGAGCAAGTCGACAGAGACGCCAAGTCTGCGACGAGCTATTTAAATAACCACAAGTTAATGTACGCTGATTAGAGGGTGAATACAAGACACCACTATGCTACGACGATCCCTTTTGTTAATGTCCTCAAAATTTATTTATTCTATTATGTAAAGATGCTACAACGCGAGACCTTGCTTCTTAGCACACTAGTCCAGCTTCAACCCCCTAAACAGATTATATTCCAGAACTGAACGACTGTCCTACTCCCGGCTGCATTAGAATTGGACAACACTAAGGACGAAAGCTCCGAGACACTCCTCAGGAAAATGTCGTAATTTGATTCGGCTATCAATCAAATACATCCAGCACGCTGAGATCCGTGAAGACGGATACCTCCGGCTGCTCTGGATCCCAAAGCTCATCGATATCATCCCACTCAGGAGCAAGGTCACGTATAAGCGAGAGAAGCTGAGATGGTAGTCGTAGATCTCCCTCGTAATCACAGTTCCTGGAGATCCGCATGAGGTGGATCTGGGGAATACGAGGCGGGTTGGGCCGCATAGGGAGGATCTGCTGGTCCGCATACTGGGCGTTGCACCCCCTCCAGAACAGCTGGTTTCGGATCGTCTGTTGAATCTCCCGGCCGACGGTACACCAATTGACGACCTCGTGCTCGTATTCAAGCAGGGTGCCATGAGGCATGTCGTATAAACCAGGTGATGATGTGGGGTGGTAGGCGTTGTCGGCCAGGGTATAATCGTAGTGGTGGTCGACAGCTATTATGATCTTCTGAATGTTGCGGAGACGACTATAAATGCTCATGAGGGTCTCCTCTAGCTTCGCCCGTGTGCATAAAGACCGCCAGTGGACAGCAACCGTCGTTGTGTCTGTCACTTGTTGGAGTGGACCAGTCTGGTAGAGCTCAAGTTCCTCCATAATATCAACATCAAAGTAGACAATGTTATTCTGCCTGCTAATAGTCTGCTGATCGGAACGAGTGGAACTCGTGGCGTTACCTAGGATGTAGCCGCTACTTCTTTGGAAGAAACTGGGGGGAACAGCGACAAGGTTCTGCTCGTAAAGTTGCAGTTCTTTATAACCATGCTCATCCTCAGCAGCGAAGCGAAGAAAGATTATTTTACTATCACTTAAACTGCTTATGGACTCTTCAAGGGCTATTCCCTGAATATCGTCGCCGTTATTAGCGCTTGGGGTCCCCATGCCAGTAGGGGCTATTGCATAAGTCTAGAAAGGTGTCAGGTGGGAGTGATAAAAGTAGCAAAGAAACGTCATACTCTTAAACTGATTAGAATGCTTACTAGATATAGAACAATGAATTCTTTATGTAGAGATTGCTATTCAGAGGCAACAATAACGAGCTGCAAAAGTGGTAGCAAGGAAGTGGTAGAAAAGGTTTAAATAATGTCGCTTACAGCTGCTGACATGCTGCTTATAATGTTCTTCACGACTTCCTGTTGCCTAAAAATATGGCCATTGTGTTCTTGCCGTAATGGTTGGCCGTTGAATGGAGAGATAGCCTTGAGCTGTGCGAGTAATGTGGGTTGTATTTCTGACTATCACAAAACACGTCACCAGCATAAGTTTGCTTGAATGCTTAACAAGCAGATTGCGCTTTCCACTTTGCATGTGTTTGGAACGCAATATCGACAAATATGCACATAACCTCTTGAACTTTACGAGGAAGGCCCTTGCCAATGGAGAATCCCTCCGTTTAGCCTATGTTGGAAGACCAACGATAAGATTTGCCTCATATGTGAACGGGAGGTGACAAATGACAGGCCACACCAAAGAAATTTGCTGAGCCAAGGGTCTCGGTACAACCAGAAGTTTAATTTAACCTCTCGAGTTAATACGATATATTGCGACCATGCCCAGTCAATTCATAAGCAATGTATTCTCCGTAAATTAGCGTTCCAGTTCTTAGACCGAGATTGTTGAGTGCAATGATCCTTGTCGTAACTCGGACTGGATTACCACTTGGGATCATTGTGAATCGTCGCAAAGAAGCGAGCTCATTGTGAACGATAATCGCCGTAACCGAATCCTGTGTAAATCCAGGTCACAGTCGCTGTCTCTAACTTCGGGGGCTCATACAACCCAGAGGGAAAGAGGCGGTCATTCTTTGCTACACTATGTAGTGATTTCTCGAATATCCTCTTCAAATCTCGAACCCTATACGAATCCTGATGTTAGAAATAGCTGCCTTAAATGGAGGTTTGAGTCTTTGGGGAGCAAGCGAGAGCGATAGTTTTAGTAAAATAGAGGATAGGGAATGCGTACTGATGTCCTCGTGGCTGAGGGTCACGCCAACATGACTTTGACATCCGCGTGGACGCCAATGGCTTCTCAGTCTTATGAGCTTCGGAGTCGTACCGTACTAGCTTCGTCTCATAGGGCCTACGCAGCCAGTAGTTCTCGAGGTTAAAGTTGACATTAAATCGGTAATGGTACGCTTCCCATAAATCATGATGATCCCAAGGGACAGGTGTGCGATTGGATTGGCTGTGAGTCAGATTGAATACGGAACGTTGATACACAACCAGGATGATGGCCTCGAGACTAATAAATTTAGAAAGATGTTGAAGCAGTCGTGCCATATTCTGCTTTGTCCGTACAGTCTTATGAAAGAGACGGAGGTGTAAACCCGTATGTAGACCCCATGATGTTCCTAGAGCTACTCTAGAAGCGTTGCGCCTGACTGACTCGATCTGACTTAACAATCGAATGACTTTGAGAAGACGTCTGACTTGTAGGTACGAATCGAGAAGAAGAATGTCGCGACTAAGATTTATATGTTTAACGATCCCGGAGAACGCCAAAGGCTTATAATAGCGAAGCACTGCTTGCCGAGAATCTCGACATACTCGTGCTAGTGCAGGTGGAGGTTCATTCCGAACATCAGCAAACATAAGTTTAGCGCTTGCCCCAGCTTGTGACGAAGAAGAATAGGGCGAATCTAATACTTCATAAATCCGAGCGTCTGGGAAGGCATAGGCCCACTACGATGAACAACGATTATACCATTAACGGTCTCGCCCCAGTGAGTAACGAGTATAAAAAAAGATGCTCTGAGGAGCAGATATCTTAGAAAGACAACACGTTGGAAAGACCACTTACAATTTGATCCCGTAGTTCGGGTGGCAATTTGGAGAATTGAGGGAAGCCATCCGTAAAGCTTGCCATTCTAGCACACAACCGAAATATTGATAGATCACCCAGTGGTCTTCAATTCAACGTCCAACAGGAGTCTACAACCTGAACTTGGAGTGTTAGAACGCTTCACAATCCAATAAAGCGAAAGAGGGGAAATAATGTGCGTACTACTCAGTTTTCTTCAAGAAGCCGCGGGCCTTTGGTTATTCCAAGCCCAATTACCTTATTGTAGATATCGATGGATGTTTCCTACTCGTTTGAGGCGCGACGAATCCAGGACCAAGTTATTTGAAAGTTGATCAGTTGCAGCGAGGCCCGAAAACGGGAACATAGCTTCGTTGCTTTTGATAGCTGGATTGAACGTATTATAGAACTCGCTCAGCGCTAACCACTTTGAATATAAAGATCAACAAAGTTTTCGGGTCTTGGGAAGGGTGTGGTTGATAGGAGGAACACCGTAAAGCTAGTCCTGGCAATATTGGACCAATATTACCTAGATAGTCTCTTGCATCAGAACCGAGAGCCTCTTGTAAGCTGCTAAACTCGAGGGAAACGCAGAGAGTTCTCACATATGTCGTTCGGGCTTAGTGGTTCCCACCTTGGAAGCAAATGTAAGTACGTCCGGGCCAATCGGAATGATAACGATGAGTGAGTCCTCGCTTTCGGAGACTCCGAAGAAATATGGCTAAGGATAATAGGTACAGCAGGTTAAATATTCTAGACCCCTCCCTTTGCGAGTATACGCCTTCGATAGTAATTCAAGGGGGAAAAAGGGAGGGTCAGATGTAAAATGTAAGTGATCAAATTCAATAGTGACTTGGCACAGCATAAGAACATAATGGGGAAATATATTAAATGAAAACTCGAAGATGGGGGGGAGGATGGTGACCCAAAATAAGCAGTGAATTGGGGCTTCATATAAGACGTAACAGCATACGCAGTAGTATGCTTGCGGGATAGTATATCACATCTCGACGAGCAGGGACTTCAGATGAAATGAGATGATTCGCACAAGGATTGGGTTGATCTGCCCACCCGTTCTAGGAACCGTAGGGATCAAACAGGCCGTCCCCGACAGAAAGGATATATGCTTTAGAAGCTCATTAGCCCTCTACAACGAATCGGCGA